GAAAGTCTGGTTGAAATTTGTTGAGACTATGCTACTTTAGAGTAGAAATACTAGTCCTCTCATAATGGTTGGAAGTCTTGATTCATATTTCTCTGTATCAAATTGCTTGCTTCCCAATGAGGAAATGCGACCTTTTCCTTCCACTATCTTTCAAATACGAGGTTTATAAGTGAAAATGAAGAGATAAATGGTAATGAAAAAAGCTGAAAATTACTGCTCAAAGATCATTACAAATAGAGAGGGGGAAACACAGTAAAGTTTTATTAAAAATTTAGTGAAAACTAGAAACGAAAGTGGAAGAGGGCTCCGGATAGAGTGCCCAAGATACAACCCGGACGTTACTAGAGTTCAGAGCTTCATCCAGCACACCTTCCTAACGCTCAAAGACTCTTCTTAGAACTTACATTCCAGCAGGATAAAGTTTAACTCATAGAAATGTTCCCTATAGAAGATATGTCTGACTACAGTCTTTACAAACTGGCATAATTCTAGTTATAACAAGACCTCTTAATTCAATCATCTCTGCTTTGGCTCCTCTAACAGCCCTTTAATGGGCCTCCCTAAATTTATTACTTTTATTTGACCCACTCTTCACAGAGCAGGGAAGACTGCAAAAACAAAAACATAAATCCAGTCACACCACTACTCTGTTCTCAACAACTTCCACGACCCTTAGGGAAAAGCTCCAACCCTGACATTTTCTATAAGGTTCAGAATAATGAGACCGACTCATCCCTGACCCAATCTACTCCAGCTACTCTGGCTTTTTTTCTTTTCTTTTCTTTTTTTTTTTAAGACAGTCTTGCTGTGGCCAGGCTGGAGGGCAGTGGCAGGATCTCAGCTCACTGCAATCTCTGACTCCTGGGTTCAAGGGATTCTCTTGCCTCAGCCTCCTGAGTAGCTGAGATTAAAGGCACACACAACCACACACTGCTAATCTTTCTATTTTAGTAGAGATGAGGTTTCACCATATTGGCCAGGATGGTCTCGCTCTCTTGACCTCATGATCTGCGTGCCTCAGCCTCCCAAAGTGCTGGGATTACAGGCACGAGCCACCGTGCCCAGCCTACTCTGGTTTTTTTTTTTTTTTTTAAACGTTAAGTTCTGGGGTACATGTGCAGATCGTGCAGCTCTGTTACATAGGTATACACGTGCCATGGTGGTGGTTTGCTGCATCCATCACCCCATCATCTACATTAGGTACTTCTCCTAATGCTATCCCTCCCTCCCCAATCCCTCTACACCTGCTATTACTCCCTTAGCCCCCCACCCCCAGGCTCCAGTGTGCGATGTTCCCCTCCCTGTGTCCATGCGTTCTCATTGTTCAACACCCACTTTTCCAATCAGGTTTTTGTACTTCTTGTTCCCTTCTCTACAATGTTTTTCATTACTTGTTTGCCTGGAAACTCCAATCCTTCACTTCTCAGCTTAAAAGTGACTTCCGCAGTGGCTCACGCCTGTAATCCCAGCCCTTTGGGAGGCTGAGGCGGGCGGATCATGAGGTCATAATATCAAGACCATTCTAACCAACATGGTGAAACCCTGTCTCTACTAAAAATACGAAGAATAGCCGGGCATGGTGGCACGTGCCTGTGGTCCCAGCTACTCAGGAGGCTGAGGCAGAAGAATCGCTTCAACCCAGGAGGTGGAGGTTGCAGTCCAGCCTGGTGACAGAGCAAGACTCTGTCTCAAAAAAACACAAAGTGACTTCCTCAAGAAAGCTTTGCTTTTCAGCAATCTATCACTCCCCACACACTTCTGGCCCCTATCATTTGCTGACTCTTTCACCATACTTTATTTCATAATTGCAACTAAGTAACTATTCATTTAATGTCTTTTTCCAGCCCTACAATGCAAGTCCCATGAAGATGTGAATGTGTCTTATTTACTGCTGTTTCCTTGGTGCCAAGCACAGAGCTGGCAATAAGGAATCAAAATGAACAGAATTTTACAATGGGCTCTTGCACAAGGTAATGAGAATTAGTGTATCTCACATAAAATCATGACTCTCATAAAGAACACATACAGCAACACAAGTCATCCTTAGAGTCTAACAAATGAAGTAGCTGTTAAAGCAAGATTTTTCACAATCTTTTCATTCCCCAATACTCTAAATCTTCAACTAGACTTCTAGGCTAGGGATGTGTAGTTAGGTTCCTTGAAAACATTCATGGAATTTATTGTGGCAGTTAAGTTTCCTGGGTAAAAATACACCGAGGACCTCAAGCAAAGCCACGCAACCTTCAAGTGAATGAGTCATTACAAGAAATTGGGATGAAAAAGCCACCCAAGAAGAAGTAATAAGAAATTCAAGCAGTGTTCTCTTGAATATGGTTCAGCCAATTCATTTTAGTTCCGATAAAACGAATGCTTGGTGGATGGGATAAAGACATGCAAAAAAAATAACAGGATTTCAGGAGACAGCTGTTAAATGACGATTTCCTAAGATGATTATGACTTTAGAAAAGTGTTAGTATCAAGAAGTTTCTGATTTCTTTTGTGGTTTTTTCAAAAATCTTTGGAAGTTAAGATTCTTCTAAAATAGAATATAGCCATTTGAATTTGGCAGAGAGGTCCGTAAGTCTACACAACATACTGATTCTTTTATCTGAGGTCACAGCCAATTCTTAAGTAAATTTAATGCAGGACATTCAGGTTTCCGTGGGTCAAAAAGCCTCATCATTTAAATATCTAATGTAAGAACCTTAAAAAAAAAAAAGAGAAAAAAAAGAGGGTATTTTCTAGAAACCTCCAACTTCATAAATGACAGAAAACAGAAAATATAAATCAAAATAGTGGTAGAAGGGGGGAAACTAACATTGTGTGTGTCTGCTACGTCATGAGCCTACAAACACTACATGTCTTATTAGATTCAGTCCTCACAACATATCTATTCAAAGATACAGCCCACAGTGGTGGAATGACTGGCCGGAGGTTAGCCGGCTAGCTCGCAGCACAGGCAGGCTTTGATTCCAGCGATACCTAGTGTCCTCTCCACAACACAACACTGCCTAAATTTTCCTGGTTCTGTCAAAACTATGAATTGTTCATTTAGCATAATGTTGCTAGTTTTTTTATTTTATCCAAATTAATTTTCCTTCTCATTCCCTATACAGATTTTCTTAGCCTTCACATCTTGCTCTACTGCTATAAACTAAGGGAAGGTGGGTTCCTCCACACAGAACAGCTCCCTTCTCTATTACCTTCCAAATGAAATGTTATTAATAAGACATATTGTGTTTATCTCAAATCCCCACAGCTGAGGAGGAATCGCTTGCTTTCCCCTGTAATTCCCAGTGTCCAGCATTCCACAACTAGGAGGTTCTTGATAATTTCTTCATTTATACAATAGGAAGAAAAAGCCAATTTAAACTTTTAAATGGTAAACTTAATTCAATGCTGAATATCAAAATAATCAACTTTTAAAAATTTAAATGATTGTTGTGATACATTCTACACTAGCAACACTTCTTAAGCTTTCTCAGTACAGTACCCCTACACAGCAGGGGAAATGAACACATCCCACAGCAGCTAAAACACATGAGATGTCATGTGGGTCTTGCATCTTAGAGATTCAGGTACATTTTGGGTTCCACTCTATTTAATAACCTTTTTTTTTTTTAACTTTTAAGTTCATGGGTACATGTGCAGGTTTGTTACATAAGTAAACTTGTATCATGGGGGCTTGTTTTATACATTATTTCATCATCCAGGTATTTGGCCTGGTATCCATTAGTTATTTTTCCTGATCCTCTGCCATTTCTCACCATCCATTATCCATCATAATTTAGCTTCCTCTGTTCCTGCATTAGTTTGCTAAAGATAATGGCTTCCAACCCCTTCTGTGTCCCTAGAAAGAACACCTCATTCTTTTTTATGGCTGCATAGTATTCCATGGTGTATATGTGCCACATTTTCTTTATTCAGTCTATCACTGATGAGTAATTATGTTGATTCCAAGTCTTTGTTATTGTGAATACTGCTGCAACGAACACACACATGCATATGCCTTTATGACAGAATGATATATTCCTTTGGGTACATGGGATTGCTGGGTTAAATGGTATTTCTATCTTTAGGTCTTTGAGGAACTGCCACACTATATTCTACAATAGCTAATTTACACTCCCACGAACAATGTATACTGTTCCTTTTTCTCCACAACCTCACCAGCATCTGAATAATCTTGTTTTTAATCTTCCCCCTTTACAGCACATGTTCCTCCTAAATATCACCAATTTAGAAATATCTCATGTTTACTTCATACTGTTTCAGCAATCCCCAGGTACTCCTGGGGATGTGAGATCTTACTCTTCAAAAATAGTGGTAATGTGGAACACGGTACTACAAAATGGTAAACTGTGAATAATAATGGTTTAAATTGATATAAAACATTTCAATAATTTATAAATTTACAAAATGTTGTTATAGGACAGGCGTGGTGGCTCATGCCTGTAATCCCAGCATTTTGGGAGGCCAACAGGGGGGTGGATCACCTGAGGTTGGGAGTTTGAGATCAGCCTGACCAACATAGAGAAACCCCGCCTATACTAAAAATACAAAATTAGCTGGGCGTGGTGGTACATGCCTGTAATGCCAGCTACTCAGGAGGCTGAGGCAGGAGAATTGCCTGAACCCAGGAGGTGGAGGTTGTAGTGAGCCAAGATCATGCCACTGCACTGTAGTCTGGGCAACAAGAGCAAAATTCTGTCTCAAAAAAAAAGTTATCATAGTTTGTGTTCCAATATTATAAAAATTAAAAAAAACTGTATATCATCAGCATTTCGTCTACTAAGGAAAGGGAATTAACATTCACGTACTTTTGTTTTTGGTATTCTGAAACTTATCTCACCTTATTTGCCAGATTTATGCATGTGCTATTAACTGTTCAGTCTTTGTAATCTATTACATCTGGAGATAACAGGTACTTAAAAAAAGCATTTCATTTTTGTTGTTAGAAATTGCAAAATGTAGGAGCCATTGCATAAGGTGAAAATTACCTTGTTTATCTATAACAGAGTATGAGGCCAAAAATCCGCGTCCAGAAATGTGGATTCCACTCATGAACAGCAATGTGATTTCATTGCTTTTTGATTCGATTGAATGGTTCATTTGCAACCCCAGACCACAGTATTTGCCTAGGAATGAAAGAAAAGCAGACATTTGTTGTGATTCTCATAAAGTCAATAATATTTGCAATGTAGATAACAGAATCAGAAGAACATACCAAACTGGCTATTAAATTAGTATAAAATAATGATTAACATGTTTAATGATTATGAATCGTATTACTCTGGAGGAAAAAAATGCCAAGTAATAACTATTCGAAAGGAAAAACAGTACATGCATCACTGACCTTACAAAGATCTATTTCCTGTGAAAGACATGTATGCTCTTTAAAAACAATTATGAGGGACTAAAAAAAATAATAAAATATTTCATGCAGACAAGTGGCTCACAAGTGGATTGATGGTTAATTAGTAGTGTTCTTAATGCGCTTCCCTCAGAGCCCTAAGATTCTGGCCTCAGGTCATGCCTCAAGTCTTTTATTGGACCTACTCTATTTTACTTCTGAGGGTTGTTGGATTTCTAAATCTCTTTAGCTGATCACATCTGATCCCATGGCTTTAACTATGATCTGACAACTGACAAGCTTAACCTTCCATCCGCAGCTTTTTCCTTGAATATCAGATGCATATATATAACTGCATGCCTAATTTCCATTTTTTAATGTCTATCACAGGGGTGTTCAATCTTTTGGTTTTCCTGGGCCACACTGGAAAAAGAATTATCTTGGGCCACACATAAAATACATTAACACTAACAACAGCTGATGGGCACAACGATCAATCAACCAATAAACAAGCAAACATAAATAAATCACAAAAAAAATCTCATGTTTTAAGGAAGTTTACAAATTTGTGTGTTTATATTCAAAACTGTCCTGGGCCGCATGCAGCCTTCAGGCCACGGGTTGGACAAGCTTGGTCTATCAAATATATAAAAAATAACATATTCTCAGTATAGATCTACGATATTAAGATAAAAAAAGAACAAGAAAAATTAAAGCAAGACATCTACTAATAAAGAATAAAAATGGATTTTCTTATGTGCTTGGTAACTTGTGTAAGAAATTCTGAATAAGGAGTTCCAAAAACGTTTTGAGCTATGGCACCATCACTTGGATAAGAGTGAGGTGGACTTCCCAGGATATAATTTTCACTGATGATAGTTGATCTTATGAGTACAGAATTCTAATGAATTGAAAACAAAACAAAATCTCACTAGAACTAGCATATAAACTTAGCTAAGTCACAGGATCGATATGCAAAAATCATCTGCCATTTCTATATATGCTAGTGACAATATGAAATGAAAATTTTAAAACTCCATCCATAGTAGCATCACAAAAGTTAAAATACTTAGGGATAAAATTGTTTTAAACGGTACACTGAAAAATATAAAACACTGCTGAGAGAAATGAAAGAACCAAACAAATGAGAAGATACATAAAATTCATGAACTGAAAGACTCAATATTGTTAAGATGTCAGTTCTCCCTATATTGAAATATTGATTTAATGCAATCCCAGTCCTAATGAGCTTTTTTCTTTTTTAAAAAAAGAAATTAACAAGCTGGTTCTAAAATGTATATGTTAAGTGTGAAAGGATATAGAACAGCCAACATAATTTTAGTAAAGGAAGAAAAGCGAAGGGCTTAAATTACTGTGTTTTTAAACTCAGGATAAAACAGACTGTGATGCTGTTGAAGGACAAACTTATATATATAATATATTAGTTGTATTTTGGGATGAAGGATAGATTCAAAACTTATAGGTTCCAAACATATAGGTTTAAACTTACATATATAATATATAGTTGTATTTTGGTATGAAGGATAGGTTCAAAACTTATATATAAAACTTACAGGTTCAAACTTTTATACATAATATATATAGTTGTATTTTGGTATGAAGGATAGGTTAGAAAACTTCTCTGGGATACCAAAAGTCCCTAATATAAAGTGGCTCAGTATTTGCCTGTAACCTATGCACGCTCTTCTGTTGCTTTAAATCACCTCTAAATTACTTACAATATGTAACGCAACATAAATACTGCATAAATAGTTGTTATTCTATATGCAGGGAATAAGGACAAAAAAATCTACATGTGTTCAATGCATTTTTTTTCCTGAATTTTTTTTTTGGAGAACGGAGAGTCACTCTCGTTGCCCAGGCTGGAGTGCAGTGGCACGATCTCTGCTCACTGCAACCTCTGCCTCTCGGGTTCAAGTGATTCTCTTGCGTCAGCCTCCCAAGTAGCTGGGATTATAGGTGTGTGCCACCACTCCTGGCTAATTTTGTATTTTTAGTATGGGGTTTCTTCATGTTGGTCAGGCTGGTCTTGAACTCCTGACCTCCGGTGATCCGCCCGCCTCGGCCTTCCAAAGTGCTGGGATTACAGGCATGAGCCACCACTCCCGGCGTTTTCCTGAATATTTTTGATTTGAGGTTAGTTTAATCCACAATTGCCGGATCATGGATAAGGAGAGCTAACTGTATATTGTACATATAACAAGCATATATATATATATATATATATATATATATATATATATATACACACAATTGTGCATCAATAATAATGGGAATGTGCTCTGAGAAATGCACTGTTAGGCAATTCCACCACTGTGCAAACATCATAGCGTGTACTTAACACAAATCTAGTTAGTATTAGTCTACTACACGCTAGGCTACACTAGGCTGGGGCCACATGGTATAGCCTACTGCTCGAGAGCTACAACAGCATGTTACTATACTGAATGTCATAGGCAACCATAACACAATGGCAAGTATTTGTTTATCTAAACATAGAAAAGATACAGTAAAAATACGGTGTAAAAAATTTTAAAATTATTAACTGTATAGGGCAGCTCCATTATCATCTTATGGGACAACTGTCACATATGCAGTCTGTCATTGACCAAAATGTTACGTGTCAAATGACTGTATTTCATTCACATATATAGACAGATATAGGTATCTCAATGGAGCAGAAGAGAGTTCACATACATGGTCAACTGATTTCTGACAAAGGAGTCAAGATAACTCAACAGGTTGAAGTTGAGTTGGAGGATAGTCCTTTCAAGAAATGTATTAAACCAGTTGGATAAAAATATGCAAAACCAAAATGAATTTAGAACTTTACTTCACAACATATACAAAAATTAAGTCAAAATGGATTACAGGTCTAAATGTAAGAAAAACATAAAACTCTTACAAGGAAACATAGGAGAAATCTTTGTGACTTTAGGGTTAAGCAAAGATTTCTGAGATTGAACACTAATTCATTAAAGAAAAAATGAATAATTTGGATTTTATCCAAATCTAAAATGTCTGCTCTTCAAAAGACACTTTTAAGAAGATGGAAAGACAAGACCAGGAGAAAATATCTGCAAAACGTTTATCTGATAAAGGCTCATATCTAGAATGTATAAGGAACTCCTGCAATTCAATAATAAGCCAATCATCCATTTTTTTCCAATTGGTTAAAGATCTGAATAAGACTCTTCAACAAAGAAGGCATACTATATGACAAGCAAGCACATAAAAAGATGCTCAACAGCATTTGTCATTAGGGAATGAATATTAAAGCTACAACAGGATTCAACTACATACTCGAAACAATGTCAATAATCAAAAAGACAGACAATACACCAAGTATTGGTAAGGAGATGCAGAAAATGGGACCTTCGTATGCTAATGGTAGGAATATACAATGGCAGCAATTTTTGAAATACAATTTAGCAGTTTCTTAAAAAGTTACAACATAAACATGTACTTATACAGCCCAGTAATCCACTTACACTTATCTACCCAAGAGGAAAGAAAATACGCCCACAGAAAGACTATGTAAAATGGTCACAACAGTATTTCTCACCTCTGCCTCAAACGGAATTTTTCATCAACTAATGAATAAACAAAATGTGGTGTGTGTATATATATATAATATATATATTATTACATATATATTATATATTAATATATATATTACAATATATATATTAATATATATTATATATATACACACATACAGAAGAATATTACTCAATAATGAAAAGCAACAAATTACTGATACATGCAACAAAATGAATGAACCTCAAAAACATTTTCCACTGAGCCAACATTTCCAAAAGATTATACAAAAATAGAACTGTGAAGCTTACGCAGAATTTAAAAAATAAATTATTCTCTAAAGCTAAGGGTTTTTCCCTACCCATTGAAAAAGTACTATATTTTAAATAATTTTATATTTTATGTAAATATATCTAAAGCCAGTCAATTGCTCTTTTTTTCAGAAAATGAGAACAATTTAACCTGAAGTCTAAATTGGCAGTTGTCAGTTAAAGCAAAGCAACAAAGTCAAACAAATAAAAACCAATTTTTAAATGCCCAACACGCTCCCTAAGATTTCACATATGAAGCTTTTCTTTCAAGATATAACTATCCAAAGCATTACAAATTCTCAATTATTAATAATCAACCTTATGAATTAATAACATTGTTTTCAGAAATTTTAGGATGAGCAGAGAAACCAGTTTGCTCTATCTGAGAATAATTTCTAGCCTACAAATAACAAAGACAGAAGTTATATTCTATTCTACATATCACTATGTTTTAGACATTTTTTCTCAGCTTAGTAAGCTAATTTCAATTTTCGGGTTTGCATTCAGACCAATCTGACATAACCTGACAAAAGTCCCTCAAGTAAATTTTCTCCTTTTATAGGCACAGAAAATAGGCTGTACGTCTTGTGGGTCATCAGCGTGGGAGTCTGCATGCTGGAGGGGGGTTGGGTACAGAGAAAATTTAAGCAGCAGGAAGTCAAAGAAGTCGCAGAGGAGAAAGTGGCTAAAGACTCCATGCAAGCACCGAAGGCGATGGAGTAAAGGGTCTCAGGAAAATGTGTAAAGGAGGATAAACTAGGGTTTATGCTATTATTTCCTTTAGTATAGAAATTTATGATTTAAACTTTCCTATATTTTGATAATGATGCAATAGATTTCTTCATATGTACAGCTTTTTCCAAATGAAGTTCAAGTCACGCTGCTTTCCAAAAGAGTTATACTAATTTCTATT